GGTCGTCATTGTTTGTGAGGAATTGAAGAAATCTACTAGCTGACTTTTCTCCAGCGTTCTGAAAGAACATGACAAGTGCATGCCAGGAAGATAAAATGGTGCCGAGGAGATCAGAGGTAAATTTGGTTTTTCACTTCGAAAACCTTCAGCAGATTTATCAGGTAGAGATTGTTGTGAGCAGCCAAAACCAGGAGTTCATGGAAACAGAGTCCTGAATTATGGAAGAAAGAACACAGTCCTCCAGTCAGCTATTGGAAAATGTGACAAACTTCTACAGTTGCACCACTCACTGATTACTAAGCCAAAATGAACTTTTGCATGAAATATCAAATCATCAGGAGGGGCACCAGTTCAGAATTTAAATTATCTGTCTTTATGTGTTCCATTGTGGTTCAGAGACTGCCCTTCTCTCCAGTATTGCTGCTTGTTCCATCTGTAACGAGTGAAGACGTATGGATAAATATTTTCTTGAATTCATTTTCCCTACACTCCCTAAGCATACCGACTCCATAACAGAACATTAGCCCTTTTCACCTTGCTCCTTAGAATCATTAGCAGAGAAAGTAGTTTTCCTTGCATATCTTTGTCATTATATTTACCATTACAAAGACTCTGTCAATGTGGGTCCTAACAACGCTGTCATAACAGCAGAGATATAGTACTAGAGTTTCCTTTGGCACCTTGTCTGTAACACTGAACAATACATTCCAGAAAATTTCCCTGGCTCTTATATTTGGAAAGTGTTTCTTTGCCACTACTGCTCGACTTGGGAATGGATGTGCAAACAAGGTAAGTTTCTTGGCATAATTGTAGAGTTCATAATAAAATGTTTACCCAAAGAAACCCTGAAAGCATTCTGGTTGAAGTCGATTTCTCCAGTGCATGTAGTACAGTTCAACCGAAATTTTGAGAATAGTTTTGAAAGAAAATGAGGAATTAGCTATCTCAAGATAAAAAAACTTACTGTGTCCTTGGGCAGTCGTCTGAAAAATGGAATTGTCAGTAAACAACTTGAGGCTTTTAGGACAATTTGAGCAAGGCGAGCACCAGACGTAGAGACGACTTTATTTATGTATATGGAACATAGAGCTGTTTTTATAGGTTTTTACTCTGACGACAGACTTAGAAGTTACATTTTGAGTAAATGAAAAAGCATACGAGTCAGTGCTGCATGGTAGAGGTTTTGTTGAACTAAGATTGGCGGAACCATCTCCAGAAGCTAGGGCCGTAGTGACACTTAATGTTTCTGAGTTTGCGATATTTTGGGCGAGCAATCGTCGCATGAAGCCATTGAGGGCTTGGGACGAAGAAGGTCTAGTCTTCTTCATGTTGGTGTGGAACTGACATTTAAAGTACCTGGAAGTTTGTCTCGGTTGTTTAAACATGTCACATTGTTCACATACATGCACTCGTTTCTCAAGAAATGGTTCTGTTTTCCTCGAAGAAAGTTCTGGATGTATCTCCATATTGATCACACTTTGCGGCACTACTAAGGTTCTGTTTTGTTTGTTTTTCAATTTCGCGCAAAGCTACACGAGGGCTA